AAAATATCTACAATTCTACATTTCTAGTAAAGTCCATAATGTATTTTGGATTCTTTTTGATTATATCCATTTCGAAGCTACTCAAGTGAAGAGCGCTGTATGTCGATTGATCGTAAACGAAATATACTTATATTAACCACAAAACGTTTCTCATCGACGGCCGCACTTTCGAATTACGCCATCGATGGTCCGCCCGTGCGCGTACATCAAAACCGAGAGAAAAAGCATAGACCTTTCAGCTTTTATATCACAAATGAAGCGGGTCCGTAATACACGGCGTCATAATCACACGCGCTTATGTAACCTTTAATAAAGAACCTCTGTGAAATTCACCTGAAGTATATTTTCCCTGTTTTTCATTCTGTTTGTTCTTTTACGCTGACGTTACCCTTTGTATGCATTAATTAGAAGCATATTAAATGCACATTAAAGTCTGGGTCGATGCAACAAATAGAGAATGTTGAATATAATGTTCGATGTAGCATATTACCGATGAGAAATGTCGTGTTTATTATGACATTATCTAGTTCTATTATCTATGTTATGTACTAATGTAAATTATACAGAGTGTCAGGGTGTGGTCGGACGAGTGGTGCAATTGAGCGGGAGGGTGGGTGCTAGTTCGAGTGTGGCACCACAGGTAACAATAAGTATAAAAGAACGAATAACATTTTTTTGTTTGACGCTACGTTTGCAAAAAAATCGAGTTTGAAAATTCTATTTAGCACGCGTGCAGTGAATTGTCTCTCCAATTCATCATTCGCTACAAGACCATGATTTCATCTCATTTTCAGATTACAATTCATAACTCGTTAATTAGGTGACCAATGATACATCAACGAGGACGTTACTTTAAACAGTTTATTTAATAATGTTATATAATTGACATTATACAATTGATTGAAAATTGATAAATCTGTTATCAATACATACGTTGCTAAACCTAGAGGCAATACAGTGCGGACATACTGGATAGAATTTTCAAACTCGGTTTTCACGAAAACAAAACGTCAAACAACAATATGCTATATCTTTGTTTCGACGTATTTTTACATTTAGTATCACGTCCTGCTCGGTTATACCACTCATTCGACCATATAGTTAATTGTGTAATAAATTCAATGCATTTACAAACTTCTACTATTGTCGTTTTCATTTATGTACCGCACATTTCTATAAAGAATGTATTCTGGCCTCATTGAAAATGCGATTAACGGAATTCATAGACGTATTTAATAAGCCGGCATAGAGAGATGGAGACAGGTCCCTAAAGAAACGCATATTTGAACCGTTCCATAAGTTAGGACATTAATAAGATCGAAGTAGACAATATGAAACGAATATATATTTCATATATGCTGCATCTTTTTTCTTTATTTTATCATATATTGTACTGTTTCAAAAGAAAGGATCATAATTGACGTAGTATTCCATAATAGACACTTTTACCTTACATACTAAAAGATATAAACGAGAATATAATATACGTTTATGTATGTAATTATGATACGTAACTTCACATGATAGACAATGCTGATACGATATAAGTGGATACACAGCTTGAGATTGTACTATCTGAAGTTCCCGGGTGCAATTGCAACGGAGCGTATCACTGTAATCAAGGAAGAAATGACATAGCCGGCGGCTAGAACAACGAGATTCCTCGAGGGAAAGCTACGAATACGCGGGGGTCACCGCGAGCAGGTATTGTAAAGAAACGAATGGAGCGTGGTATGTCGATAATTTGGCTAATTACGGTTACTCCCGTTTGTTCAGGAATAATAAGCAACGAACCGAACTTTACTTCAAATACATGTTTCTGTCAGTTTCTTAATTTGGAAATCTTTGCCAGAGAAATGGAACGTTTATTTTTTGATCATTGATACTTTTCTCATAAACAAACTTTCAGAATATCAATTTCATTTCATATTCAACTATTTACTTTNGTTTGAAGATGACATATTAAATACAACAAGCTAATAATTCGCTATAAACAAAAATTTAAGCCAAAACAAAACTTATTTAGGTCTGAAACTGTTGGAATCAACCACGCTTAATTTTTAAACGCGTTAAGAGAGAGAACACAAGCATGGGGTGCAGAGAAGCCGAAACTAACAATGAAAATGATCGTTTCTCCAGCGTGCATGTTCTTACGTTAAAAATATTTCCCTCGTAATTTTTCGCGCGATACACTTTACGCGATGCAAATCTCTCGTTGCCTCCTTGTTTCCTTCGCTTTCTTTTTTAGTGTTTTCTCGTTCTCCGCTTGCTTGAGATTATCGTTCTTTTAACGAACAGAACACGTGCGTGTCCGTTGTTGGCCGAGAAAGCAGCATAGTTATTCGCGACCGTTGCTACCGCATCGTAAATAGATTTTCTTCGAACGCAGGGTACAATGTAAAATAATTCTAAAGCGTAGCCAATTATATCATACTCTTGCACCGTATCACCGTAGAATATCATTATTAACGAACAGCCGTTGCACCTTTTATATGTATACATATAAGTCATACACATGTATAATAAATTATATAATAAATCATATAATGAATTATACGTATAAAATCATATACGACAAACCTTACAGAAAATCAGAACGACTGCTCTAGTTCACCTTAAGTTCTAAATGAAATCTCGTTGACAAGAATGCGACGGTTTTTCGCTACAATAAAGAGCATTCAACTAAAAGCGAGATTCGCTTAAGCTGCATTGACACAGTGACATGGCTGTGAACTTATTTTCATATTTATGTCAAAAGGGAATTTATTCACGTGTTTAGTTGTCTGTTTATCAATCTATACATCTTTTAACATTACAAAATAATAATAATTATTATTATTTACTATTGCAGCAAATATGAAAGCGGGGCAGGTAACTAGCATCAATTATCATTAGGTGCTATGCACATTGAACTACGCGATGAAGAATGGAGAATAAATGCGAGACTAAAAACAGTAGAAAATAAAATTGTGCTAACATGAAGGGATCGCGGTCGGGAAAAGATTGTTTAATTCATGAAGAAGATTCATGAATGAATAATTGTAAATACGGAGATTAAAAGCCGGGGATTAAAATAGCAGATTTTCCTGAACAGTTCGATATGAAATATTCTGTATCAAATATTAAAACAACGTACAAGTATCTATTTCAAGTAAAATGTATTTATTATAATATGTTACTATAATATAGAATAGTCTTAATAGAAAGAATATGTCTTTTATTCAACACGAACCATAGCATATGGATGTAGTGAATGATTTCAAGGTGTTACGTGCATCCAATGATAACGAATGGACCATGTTCGCTACCCGGTTCAACGAGAAATATCACGGGAGGTCGCGGTCTACAGGATTCGAAAATGTTTTCCTTTGTTTAGTCACTCGTGCGTTTCTCCATTAAGGAAATAGTCTAACTACAATGGCATTCAAAAGTTCGCTGCGTATGGATACACAGACGCCAGCTGTGTTCTTTACTGATTGTGAGAGCAGAAACGAAGTTTTAGATACGAGTGTACAGTTCGAATCTACCGCCTGCATTTCTCTAATTGATAATTCTATCAATTTGCACTTTCACCAAAGCCGAAGGAAAAAGACGTAGATAACTTAACTACGTTGCATCGATCTGCTTTATCCAGAAATACTAAGTGTATAATCGTCCAATCACAGCGCGTGGAAAATTGTAATGATAACAAATTAAACATTAATAATTTAGTGGACGTGAATTCATTTTAAGTTGAGCATGATTGCTCCTCGCGAACGTCCTTGATTTCGTTTACCCTGGTTCTCCTTTTTTCCCTCTGCAGTGTCAAGACTTTTGATTTACACGCTCGCGTACAAGCATATTCTGCATAATTAGGGTGAAAGATGCAACACGGTTGTTCACGTTGATACGTATTTATGTACGTACCTATCTGTTTGCACGCAAAAATACACGAGGTCGTTGAAATCACTGGCGTTACTTCACAACTGTGTGATGTCGGAAGAGGTATAATTACACATGCATCAAGAAACGAAACACGCGCGCGGTCGTTGCATGTAGTTCGCCGCTATTAAACTTTTGATTACATTTTTGCGAATGAGAGCCACCGAGAAACGATGCGACGGAGAGACATTCGCGATATCGCGGCTCGGTGGTAATAAAGAAAAACAACCGATGTCGCTCACTACATTCAACTGAATTATCAAATAAAAACGTGCACGGTGATAATAATACTGAATGCTCGCGGAAAAATAAACTGCACTTGTTTTTTAAAAAAACTTTGAATTGTGCCGATTCACAATTCAATCGAATTTGTATCATCTTTACTTATACAAGTGATACAAGAAACTTCCATTGCTTTCTATAAAACAAACTGCATTTAATTTGTACAACAAATTCGAATTATAATAACTCAACATATTTAATTTAAGATAGCAAGAATCAAATATGATATGAAACTTGTGTTGTTCGCAATATTTGTCAAGCTACACAACCCACCATATTATTAACGTAACCACCGCTGATTTATTACTACTAACCTGTGGACGTTATCTATCATCGTTTAATATTATATTAGAACTGCACCTACTTATCTTCTACTCTTAGTTTCTCCTTTTCTGTTCCTACCTATCTCTCTTCTTATATTCTCTCTATTCACTTTGTTATCTTTGTTACCCTTCTTTCTTTCAGTACACTGTGCAATAAAATGAACTGCACTTGCTTTGTACAGAGAGTTCGAATTGTACCAATTCTCAAGTAACTACATGATTTTATAAGAAACTTGGAAAAGACATAAAAGTGTTCAAATAAATTCACCCTTCCATTTATCTTCCAACATGATTCTGAAAAATTGGACGAAGTTTTTCTTAATACCCAACCCTCTGTCCGAGAAATATAACGGCGACAATACTTTGCACGCGTGCTTACGACGTCGAGAGCTCGCAGATAAGCGCACCCTCCCTTCAGGTGACCCGTACCACCATCACTACCACCCTGAAAAATTCCTTATCTGACGTACTCACCGATCACGTAGCTATACCCGTCCAACGTGAGCACACACTTGCGTGTGTTGGATGAACTCGGAATTCCTGGCACCAGCCGGCGAGAAATTCGCTTACCGGGACTGCAAGGAGTACCGCCGGTAGCGCTGGCACCACCGCCGACGGTACTCGCGGCGCCCGGGTCCGAGTGGCACTTGTGCACCGGGTCTTTGCTTTGTCTAGACATTATCGTACTCTCCCTCGCGGCCACTTGTTCCTCGGTTCTCCTCCAGCGGAAGCCGGAAGAAAACCTACTTCCGCGCCATGCCCACGTACTTAGCCACGCGACAATTCTCTTTTCCCTCCTATTATCGCGGCCAACTTTTCATCATCGTCCCGACACCCCAGCCACGTATGTTCGACACTCATTGTTGCCGTTTACACGCACTCACCTACGATATTCCAACTTCACAGAGTTTCGAGTAAAGATGCAATGCGCGACTGTTATCACGCTTGCTACTACAATTTCGAAATACGAAATGCACTCACTACCATCTGTTTCCCGTAGTTAACTGGTTCCATCGGTCGAAATTAGTTTGATAAAATGAAACAATAAATCACAGTTTTAATCGCGATTAAACCATGAAATTACGTTTTAATTAGGCTGTTTCTCATTTTTCCTTAAAGTTCGTGCGTCGAAGGATTAGTCGACCGTGAACGACGCGATATCCCGCGGATTTCGATCGTAACACGATCGCGATTGTTAAGTTGACTAGCGTTTCGATACAGGAAGGTGGGTAGGGCTCCTCTTAACGGAGCAATTGTTTGATAATGGATTTCCTCTCGTTTTCGAGCGTACCCGGCGTATGTCAAGTAATTTGTTCAACGTCCCTGAAGAGACTCGAGCGCAACCCTTCGGGCTTGTTGCGTGTCTCGCCTCGATTTTAGACCGGATTACCACGTTTCGCGCGTCATTTCCTTTGATTTCGGTACTTTCTTCCTGTCCTCAAAGAATTGAAATTCTCTTAATTCGCATAAATAATCTATCCTTCTTCAAAACAATTCTACGATTGTAATTTTCGTTTTTTATTACAAACTTTCCCGTGATCCCAGCGAGCCTATTTTCAGCAAAGAGATTCACTCGTTAAACTGATATCGTCGTGTTGGCTAAACTGTCCCGGAGGTTTGATCAACTTTAATGACAATCAGTACATCCGGTGCTTCTCGGTGAACTTGTTTATCTTGCGGAATTGCTTTCGTTCTCGCTGATTTCCAGGGTTGGGATTGCCAGCATCGTGATCGCTCGTTCTCTCTCCTTCATACGCGAAACTTTCTCGAGACGCGAGCGCCACGTCCGGTGCAAGCCCGTTTGTCTCGAGGATTCTTTAAATTACACCAGATCGCCCGTAGAGCAAATCGTCGCCACACCGATTGGTAAATCCAATCAACGATGCGAGGTCTGCTTACTTCCTCCAGCATAGAGTTTCAGCCCCGTAGAAAATCGACAATCCTCGATTTCATAACTGAACCGCGTGCTTACATTTTTTCCTTCGAATACGATATTTCACAAAGTTTCGATTAGCTCGCAGTTGCGTCGAGTCGTTGATCTAAAATTTATCGACCTGTGGATTCTCGGCACCGACGTGGTGCTACGTTCTCGTTACGAGGGCCATCGACGTCGCCTTTCAACGGCTTTCGAGCAAATCCGGTGGTTCCCGCGCGATGAGAACGCATTGAACGTTATTCGGTCGACCGAACAAATAGAACAACTTCGTTATTTCCCTGTTTTATCCGAGCCCGTGCATGCGGCTCGATAAGGTTTCCGGCGTGCCGCGGCGAGGCGGCGGCGGGACAAAAATTTATGCCAGGAACACTGACCTCGGCTGCTGCTTAACCGCGCGACCCGAAATAGGGATCCTCCGTCGCGGCCAATTCTCGTTCGCCCGAAATCTTTCACGTCACGTACGCGTCCGAAATTTCTGGCAAATACGTGTAGCCTCTAAGAATACGTTATGCGTCACGCGACCTCCGGCCCCTACTCATCCCCTAATTGCCAGAAGGGTTACGTGCGATAGCCAGCCATCCTGAAGATGATTATCATCCACGTTTCGATATTACCGTTTTAAATGGCCGATTCTAATCACGGACATATTAGGATCGTTAACCGTAGAAACGAAAGGCGTTGATGTCTTAGCGGTTTCTCTTGATGGATGTTCCTTGCGGAAACCGTTCGCGCTGATTGATCACTTCCAAACGGTCGCACGTGCTTGTTGCAACGCTTCTACCCAGAAAAGGTTCCCAACTCCTTTCTTTTTTATCATCGCACTCACCTTTCCTTCTTCGAAATTCTTGTTGGTTGTTTTCGAAAAACACGAATCCCCAGTACGGATGGTCTTCACGCGAACCTCTCAAACTCGATCGTGGGAGTTACAACGAGCGAATAGTTCCACCGAATTAATTCGACTGGAAGGGAACCCGATAGTTCAATTACCTCTTCTCGTTCTTTACGGGAGCGTTTACAACGTCCGCGCCCGTTTACGTGCATGCACGGACACGGAAGGATCGCGTCGAGCAAGGGTTGCCTGTATCCCGCGATCGATTCGCGTTACCATAACATTAAATTCAGTTTGCCCGCTTGTGCACCGGCGCGCCGGCAGCCTCGCGAAGCCGGCACGCGCACGGCCTGCTCTTCTCCATCGGCTGTTCGATCGATGGACGATCATCGGGATCCATGCGTTGTTACATTCGCACAGGTGTCATTTAACACTTGTAAGGAAAGCTTGGTTACGCAAGTTTCGCCGGTTGCTAGCTCGATAATATTTATTTATACTTTATCCCAGATTATCAACTTGTTCTTTATCCGCTGTATTCACGCTTCGATCGACCGTTTCCTCCCCGGAGTTGCACTTTATTTATTAATAACCGATCCAGTATTACACCTTCCACTGTTTCAGTTCGAAAATTCACCGACCGTGGCGAGACAAGAGGCTTAATGTCACCGATTTATTCCTGCTCTCGATAATATGCCGCCAATCCGTCTGATAACGTCCCTTGCTCACGGAAAATCTAACCGAGCTGCTTGTCACTGTTCCTTCCTCAACTGCTGTTTAGATATTCATAAAACGATCGGCGTATGGAAAATTCAACGGCCGTATCTTGTTCGCAAGTTTTCTTTCAAATCTAACCTTTATATCGCGCCGATAAATAATTTACCGAAAAGTTTTGATCTGATAATCCTTCGAGCAACGAATACTCGCAAAGCGCAAGCACTCGATCCGTCTTCGTTTATCGCGCGCCGAAGCAACGGTTCGACGATCTCCGTTCAAACTTCCCTGCGGAGCCTCTGCACATTGCGATCGAAAACACGCGAAACTGCGAACCGGCGAAAGAGGCGCGAGTGGAATAACCGCGTGCTTGGTCCGACATCACGCGGCGGTCTCGTGCGAACGGCCTCAGAGGGGAGAAACCTGTGATCACGCGAACCGAGCCAACGAATGCGGTACGGAAGCGGGACGGAGACGAGAAACGTGTCCGAGATCGACGACACGCGAAAACCACGCGGAAACCGAATCGCACATGCGATCCAAGCCGCGGTACCGCTACAACTGAACCATTCGAAACCTCCACCTCCCGCCGAGCCCCCTCCTCGTTCTACGCGTCGCGACTCGACCCCTCCGAACTCTCCGCCCTCTCGCTCCCTCTCTTACGATCGCCTATCTTTCTCTCTCTTTCAATATCCTCTCCTTCACCCTGTCTCACACCTTTTTCCCCGCTATTCTCTCTCACCTTCCCTTCTATCCTGTCGTGTCGCGTCGATTACTCTTTCTCTGTCTCTCTCCTTTTACTGCCTCTTTTTCGTGACGATATCCTCGTCGTTGATTTTGTGTCATTGGGTTTCGTCGCTTCCACCTCGTAAGTGGTATTCGCCTCCGGGTAAGCATCAGAGCGTACTTTCAGAAACGTGGAAGGGACCATCTGCCCTACGGCTACAGAACGACTTTCGTCGTGGGATGTTTGGCCGAGGGGGTGATTGTTTTGCGGGCGTAGATCAAGCGAGAACATAAGTGAATTTGCAGATATAGAGGATTATGCGTCTAACAGTAGGTAGATGCTCCATAACTGGATTTACACATTTGTATTATAATCTAAACTAAATTATAGACAAAAACAGTATGAATAAGCTTCAGCAATAGTCAATAGTTTTCTTATCACACGCCATGCTTATCCGAAAACGTTCTATCGCGGGGGGAACATCATAAGCTAGACGACAGTCTATTCTGACAATTAAGACTTCATATTTCCTCTTTTTCATCGACTACGATCAAATTAAACATAAAAATAAAAACAAGTATTCCGTAAAACGGAGTTTAATCATATTTAATATTGTTTTGATTATATTAATGGTGACAATCCAATTAATAAATAAATGTAATAAATATGGAAGAATTATAGGTTTTATCCTCCGATGTGTATGTAATACGAAATCGTGCTAATGCGAATCATAGGTAAGACTTGAGGTTCGCATGAAATGAGCACTTCCAAGAATTAATGAACATGACTTGCAGCCATATGTATATACATACATATATCCGGATACCACTGTATTTCGCACGTGACTCTCGTAACAAACTAAATAAGTACGTACGTATAATATAACTCGATTATGCACACTTTCATCAAACAATTGTCCAATTCACTTAGAACATTGTTAAAACAAATGTTGGGCGACATAAAACCGTACAGTAAATATTTCTACATTCACATCCATTGCGTTGCTCGATCTTTACTTATTACAATCTCACTGCAGGTGACAGCGGCCGGCATATAATTTCATACGACCTAGTAATTTTCTTTAATTGAATTTATCGCTACGGAACGCGTCTGGAAATTTTTACCGGGAATCGTTGCAACGAATGAGAACGCGAAGTTAATCGCGCGTAGGCAGGTGAATTAAATTAAAACGAATTAATCCGTAAAGCAACGCGAACAAGAAACGATTGGTCATGTGAATAATTAGAAAAGTTCTCCTTTGGCCATTCCAATTATTTGTTCCAGTTTACAAGATACAACTGATTTCTTTTTTTTTTACGTGCTCTTTTTTTAATCATTACCGTAGCTTTCCTTGCGTCGAGGTATGCGCTTTGACTGATGTGATTCCTCTTTGCCGTTCGACGCCTTTGCCTTTGACGTTCACCGAGCCTCGAAACAGGCTCGCGTCCTCACTTTTTCTATCATGAATTATTTCCCTTCCCCGCCGGGGATTCACTTTGTTTTCAAAGCCGTCAAGGCGCAAAAAATATTTACCAGTTTACCAGTCCCTCCCCTTATTTCCTTTCTCAATCTTTCTTTATTTTTTAATAATGTTGTACTTCATTTGCTGCGTTAATTGAATGGCTTGCCGTGCAATCTCTCGTCAAAACAGTGGCCGACGAACTTTCACAAATGTAAAGTCAACTTCGATCGAGGTGTTCGCACCAGTTCGTAAAACGCTCGAACGAGGTTCACCTGTTTCTGTACAGTTTCGTCACCTCGACATGGCTTCGCACTTGATTACCATAATTGCTTGTGGCCACCATGTGATATATTTCTGCAAACCAATTTCCTAGATTCGCGTGTTTAGTGGTATATCACGATTGCGTGTCATTATTGCATGCGTGCCATATACATATGCATGTCGCTTATGACGTATTACAAAATATATACATATATATAGGAATTATTACATGAAAGTCATTTCTATTCTTCCATTTGATGTACAATGTTAGTGATTTGTTGTGTATGATGCATCATATGATTTATATTATTTAATATATGATTTATATACAATGACGTAACGTTTGCCAACTTGTAATGATACGAGGGAATAGTACCAGTGACTACAGTCCTTTATATGTACAGGGTTGTATGTTTGGCAGTACATTCAGAGGAAACGGGTCAACCGACTAACGAACCGTACCTATCCGCATATATTTCGCAGGAGTGGACGGAGTTATCAGAAATTGAATGCTTGTACGTGACGCTCTCTCTGGGGAATTATGACTTTTTAACACTCCATCATCAGCGACAAAACGTCAGCGGCACACGTTAACGTGGGTGAACATAGTTCTCCTCAAATGAAAATATGCTCGCACATTTTTAAACAGAAATAAAAGAAGTAATCTAGACTATGGATTTTTATGCAGACTAACGTAAAGATAGTGAGTTAAAAACATGCATAATAAATGAAGATTTGGTTTATAATTTATTCACTGTAATATGTACTCTCTTTTAATAGTCAGTCATCATCTCCCTTTTAAGAGTGTCACGATACACGAATGCATTAAATCCGTAGTCTATTTCTCTAAATCCAATTAAAACAGTATTGTTAGATATTGTAAGAGTTTGCTCTTATTTTTGTCAACATGGTGGATTCTTCCACATTGTAAATTGTCAATACGCGATGTACTGTCATCACAATCTTTTTAAATAGTTTCTTTCTCGTAATAGTAATATAATATTAAGATTAGTACGTAAGTTTATTTTGCATTCTTCGGCATTCAATTATGTAATGTTGATATAACGATTATAAGTTGGTGCAGCCCTTGTCAGATACTAATCTGCCACCAATGAAAGTCGTACGTTTTTTCACAGAAATTTTTTTAAAATACACGTCACTGGTTGATTAAATAGGAAGCATTGTTCACAGTGATAAGTTTATCAGGAATAAAAAAGGGAAGCGGCGGCCGATAAAAGAGCTCGGAGTTAAACGGCGCGGTAACTTTTATATGTATAGATAATATCCTTAATTCAATAGCTGTGTCGCGCGATACAAATTGCGACGTTAATACAGTTAAACGCACGCGACAGAAGAACTTAATCCTTTCGCCTTTTATCAGACGACGACACGCTCCCGGTCCATCGCCACTTACTATCCAGTGTTCCTTTAGAAACGTATTTCACGCTCGACGTGTCGCGATCCTCGGCGTATCTATAAATAAATTCACGCTCCGAGGGATTTAATTCAGGTCGCGCGTAAACCTACTTCGGTCGCGTAATTACCGATACGACCAGGGTTTCAAAGTCTTTACGTGTTCTCGATCCGCCTAAAATCCATGCCCGATCCTCGCATCATGGCTAGTCGTCCCTCGTAAATCCCTTTTATATTACAGTTACAAGCTGTGCCATGGAACGTTTCAAATTCAAATGCGGCACCAGGCTATATCCGTTGTACAACGCAAGTACGAGTCTCCTGTCCAACGAACCGTTCCTACAACCTTTGAACACAAGTCACCCGCAACGTTTGTTAACGCTTTCCCTAATTACGCTTATGCTTTCCGTAATTCTGTAATAAAATAGATGAACGTCAAACTACATTTTAACGAATCAAAAACGAAGGAATGAAGTTAATTTTTAATTGTAAATACTTCTTTCTGGTATTTTTATTGTACGTATATATTTGCTAATATCAAACTGGTATTGATTTTTGAGAAAATTTGAGAGACCAATTTTATTTCTGATAACAACTTTTATTAATATATACATTATTCTTATATACTAGGCGAATTTATCACATTATTTGGAAGCTGAATTAGTAACATATGAAAGTAGGACATTTACATTTCAATTTAAATATTTTGTACAAATTCAGTGTTACATTTTGTAAGAATTTCACAAGGCAAAGTTGAAGATTGCTGACTTGTCACCTTGAATCACAAACCCCTTTGCTTCGTTACGGGTCACCAACGACTTTATCGCAGATATTCCTCGTCCACAACCCGTCCCCTTACGTATATTCGTATGTTCTATCTCTGTGATCATCTTTGCACAGATCTCGGGAAGCACGCACCTCAGAAAGTGGGATCCTGGCGAAGCTTACCGGGGAAGGTAGTAAATTAGTCAGCGAGGGTTCCTCGGAGAAGATGGAGTGTGCCTCTAATAGCTCTCTTCGAGTAAATGGTCGGATTTCGGCTATGGATATATAGGGTGTCTCACCTGTTCTTCAGATTTGGTTTACGTAACTTATAGAAAAATATTTAAAGTTGTGGCAGCTATTCTTTGCCACGTTACCTTATTTATTTCTGTTTTCTCTTCTTTACTTCTTCTCAACGTTTTATTTTATCATTTCATTATTCTACTATTTTTCACTCGAAAACTTTTTCACTTTTAATGGCTAGAAGTTGGAAGTTTTCGACCGTCAGGTTTTTCTTGATGTCTTATCTATTTTTCCAAATTTTTCCGTACGCTTTCGTTTCATTTTCTATCCTTTCAAGATAACATAAAATTATAGAAAAATATACCAGTGAGTAGAAAGTGGGACATACACCGTATATTTGAATTTGTACATTGCATCAGTTTAATGAATGATGTTAAATGACAACCATCCTATGAGTAGGTTTCAAATCGACATTTTTTATTGCAAAAAAAAAAAATATAATATACATATATATATCCTACAATTTTCAAATAAAGATCCGGACGTTAAAAACTTAATAAGATTTGAATGCTTGGGAAAAAATGAGTGGAATTTTGTTCATCGTAACAGAGAAGGTGGCATGCAGAAAATTCTTTATTCACATAGATACGACGATGATTCTAC